GCAGAGCTTTTTAGGGTTCGTTAATTATGTGCGTCGGTTCGTCCCCGATATGGCACGGTTAACTGCCCGACTGACGGATTTACTGCGGAAGGGGGTCGTTTTTACGTGGGGGGAGAAAGAGCATGCTGCCTTCTCTGCCCTGAAAAATGTTCTCTGTTCACCGCCCGTCCTGCGCATCGCCGACCCACACCGCCCATTCGAAGTAGTTACCGACGCAAGCGATATCGCCATCGGAGCCGTACTGCTACAGGATTTCGGCAATGGCCTATAGCCTATCGCATACGAGTCACGAAAACTGCACCCGCCCGAGAAAAATTACCAGATACACGACCGCGAAATGCTTGCGATCGTGCACGCGTTCAAAGTATGGCGCTGTTACTTGACTGGCGCGGACATGACAGTACGGACAGACCATAAATCACTACAGTACCTTCGCGCACAGCCACACCTCAACCCACGACAGATTCGCTGGCTCCATTTCCTCGAGTCCAACTTTCACTATACGGTCACTTACAAAAAGGGAGCCTCGAACATCGCCGACGCACTGACTCGCCCCACTGCCCAGATCCACGCAATACTACTCGCCCAGACAAGCCCGCTACTGACAGGCCTATTCACCCACGGGTACCAAACGGATCCATTCTTCACAGGAGGAAATTCGCAGCAGTTCGCGGCAACAAAGGGAGTCTATTACGTAGAAACCGGGACTGACCACATGTGGGTGCCTGGGTATACACTGCTACGGGAATTACTGTTACAGGAGGCACACGACGGAGTTACCTCGGGGCATTTCGGAGTAGAAAAACACGGCAGCAGGTGCAGCGGTATTATTACTGGCCCGAAATGTTGACCGACGTACAACGACACGTGGCATCGTGTCCCACTTGTCAGCTCATGAAATCATCACGACAGCGGCCGGCGGGACAGTTGCAGCCGATACCACCCCCAGAGGGTGCTTGGCAGCAGGTGACGATGGACTTCGTCACGGGGTTACCAGCCGGGGCGAGTGGGAACGACGCGATCCTAGTCGTCGTCGATCGATTGACGAAAATGGCACATTTCGCAGCCTGCAAAAAATCAATCACAGCCAAAGAAACAGCACGCCTCTTCATCTCCACAGTCGTTCGACTGCACGGGATACCAGCCGCGATCATCAGCGACCGCGACACGAAATTCACCAGCAACTTCTGGCGGAACCTGTGGCAGCAGTTCGGCACGCGACTGCAGTTCAGTTCATCATGCCACCCCGAAACCGACGGACAGACAGAACGGACAAATCAGACCATGGAACAGCTCATCAGGGCCACGTGTGACGACCCGACCACGTGGGAACAGCAACTGCCACTAATCGAATTCGCGTACAACAACTCGCCATCCGCCACGACCCAACAGTCACCATTTTACCTAAACTACGGACAAGACCCAACAGTACCCATGACCCCGAATCCTGACAACCCAGTACCACGAGCACAACAGATCGCCGAAATATTACAAGCAGCACAGACCCGGGCAGTAGACGCAATAAAAATCGAACATCATCGCTAAACGCAACGCCGACCGCCACCGCAGACCTGTCACTTACCAGCCCGACGACTTAGTTTTACTTGACACTCAGAACCTCCGACTGCCCATCACCCCGAAACTCCGCCCCCGATACTGCGGGCCATTTCGCATAAGCCACGTGCTTACACCCGTCACCGCCCACCTCCTCCTCCCTGCTGACTGGTACGTCAGCCCCTCATTCCACGTCAGCCTACTTCGCCCTTACGTCCCGTCCACGAGCCAACTGCCACGCAATCGCCCAGCCAGCATGACAAGACCACCAACTGAACCAATCATCACCCCCGAGAAAATCCTGAGTCCCAGAGTTCGCGACCCTCGAGGAGCCCGAAGGATCGAGTTCTTACTCCGCTGGAAGGACCGTACACCCACCGACGACAATTGGGTTCCCCTCGACAGAATCGAAAACCACCCCGTCCTCACCGAGTATCTGCGCAGCCGAAATTTCAGGGATGTACACGCATTTTCGTAAGGAGGACCTCCTTAGGGGGGGGGGGGGGTAGTGTAAGGAAAATTCCTTTTCCTTACTTCGCATCCCTGCTCAACGCGTACATCACTGTAGCACCACAGTCAGCACCGTTACCACTCGCAACCCTCGCATCGACAATCCGCCCGCCACCTTCGCACATCGCACCCCAACTTCACGGCTCGGCGGGTAACCCGCGCTCCGGGCCTCCGCTTCGACACTTTTCCCAACCTCAGTCCCAGGCCCGTCGCCAGGGCCCAAATTTTAAGGGTATTTTACCCTTTTTTCCCTGCTCATAGGCCACTTTTTGGCAGTTACCCTTTTCAAATCAGGGTATGCAGATTTTTACCCTAGTGCAATCAGAATACGCTTAAAAGTACTCTTGTAGCTTTTCCAGTTACACTGACTGTATCAGGGTAGGGGTTCAACTACCCTTTTACCGGAACTTTTCCGTACCGCGGATTCCGCCACAGTCCGCGCCACGACGAAATGCTCCACGGTCCCACTGGACCATTTGTTGGATGCACCCACTGGCGTGCCAATGTACATTCAGGGCGGATGGCACCGCACACCTACGATTGGTCCGTTGAGCAACATTGAAGCCAACGCACCCAGTTTCCGTGCGTCACGCAACATCGCGCACTGCCGATTGCGCGCCAGGTGGGGTACGTGCTGTCGTTTCCACCACCTTGCAGTCACTGTGGCCTTGCAGCCATTGCCATGCAGTTCCCTACCAGCGAGGGAACCTTGCTGCCTGAGGCGCCTTGGGCTTTGTGATTCCCGAGGGGTCTCTCAGGCTCTTGCCATTCTCTCGTTTCCCTCTCGTTTGTTGTTCCGAATGCCTGCCTCTGAGCCTGATCCGCCTGGTAGCACCAGGAACGGTCTCTCCGTTCTCGGTGTGTTACCTCGGCTTGCTGAGAACTATAGCGTCCCTATCTCTCAGCCTGAGCGTGAGCCATCCCTTGAATTTCTTGTCGGCACCGTTTTCCCGTGCGAGCGTTCGGCCTCGCCAAAGTCCCGGGAGCCACACCCGTCTCTCGAGCTTGTTCTCGATGGCGGCAAAGGCCCGTCGAAGCCGGCCACTGCAGCCCCGTCCACAATTAGCTCCGCGCCCGCGAAGCGACAGCGTGTGGGCGTGACATACAAGGAGCAGAGGCTCTGGGGCGCCCCTCCTCCACGACAAGAGGCATCACCGCCACGCCGTGCTGCTCCTGCTCAGCCGAAGCCTCCAACCGCTTCTGCAGAGGCTGAGTATGAGTTGGTAAAAACGACTTTCGATTCGCAATGGTCAAAGAAATTCAGTTGGCTGCGCTTAATGCGCATGACTAACGACAGGCCGTCATTGAAATGTGCCATCTGCATCAAGCACGGGGATCCAAACGCGCACACTGCCTACGGCGTCAGAGGTGAGGGTGCCCGAGACATGCAGCTAGGGAGCATCCGCGTGCACACATCAAGCAGAGCCCACAAGCAGGCCTTGGAAAACGAGGCCAAAGCAGACGCGGAAAAGGCGAAGCAAGCCACACTAACAAGGTGGCAGAGCACTAATGCAGCTACACGGCACATCATCCGCTGCCTCCACCTCGCGCTCTTCATCTGCAAGGCTGACGCGCCAATAGCAATGTTTGTTCCTTTGTGCTGGTTTCTGGCTAAGGAAGGACTGCTGGACCTTCCACCGTCTGGAGGGTACGGCGCCTACTACACCGAGTAAGTGCAGTGCAGTGCAGTGTAGGGCCCTTTATTTAACTTGGTTGGTAGTAAAGCTTGTAGGTGCAGTGCAGAACACTTTAGTGATAACTAAGTAATTGTTGTACGGTAGTAGTACAATCTTATGCTTAGGAAGGAAACAGTGTACGACATATACCGTAATCTCCCGGACAAAACACCCCCCCATGATAGTACACCTCCGGGTAGCTTGTGCGGGGTGGGTGCTATGGGCGACCTCGTTTCTACTATACCCCCCTTTTTGGATGATTTTCTATAACACCCCCCTTTTCTTACGGATTCCTATTTATAGTTGTTATCGAGTCTGATTCCTTACAGGGGAATATCGCGAGAATTGCTTCCTAAATGAAATTTCGCGCGTACTTGCACTTAGAATCCGCCAACATTTCCCCCTCCCACAATCTCACTGTCGCCACCCTGGCGAATCTTTCGCTGCTAGTGGACATTTCCCCCATCCCACATTCTAGGAAGTTGCCACGCTGGCGAATCTTCCGCTGCAAGTGGCCCGAAAGGTGAAACTCACATTCTTGCCAAAACTCACATTCTCGCCTCAAACTGTGATGTTAAAACGACCATTGAAACACCCAAACTGTCTAATTTGAGAATCCTCTTGCATTAAAATATACCATATATAACCACCCGGGTATTATATAGGATTTTCCGTTGAGAGGACCCCCCCCCTTTTTTCCCTGTGGTTATCATAATACCCCCGGGTGTTATGTCCGGGAGAATACGGTATTATCCTGCCAAAATCAGTGTACCAAAACTTTTAGGCTGCTACAATCAGTGTACGAGAAACTTTACCCTACCAGTCAGGGTACGGAGGGGATGCCACCCTGATTTGAAAGAGTGAGCTAAAACCTATTTTGGGCCGTGCCCGTCGCGCGACAACCACAGTCCATTACCGTTACCACTGTAGTTTCGCTATATATTCTTCGCTCATGCCTTCGCTCATTGTACTCTTGCTCCGATAGTGCAATTCTCGTTCGTTCCCTCAATTGCACTCGTAACAATTTGTAAGAAAAAGTCTGAGATTTTAGACAGTCATACCATATTTGTCTGATAAACCTACCAAGGTCCGTATTATACGGAAGTCCCGGGGGTCTACTACTGATCTTATATCCGGGTGATTACGGTAAATCGCGTATGGTAGTACTATAAGAAAACAATGAATATATTAAACAATAAAGATACACCGAAGCATACAAACCGGGGAAGTGACGCCGACACTAAAACTGCTTGGTTAAAGTTACAAACCGTCAAGTGTTGAGAGCACCTGCAGTAGAACTCTCTCACTGAGTGGCTTCTGCACAGCGCCATCCATGCCAGCCTCAGTGGCACGGGCGACAACGGCACAGTCCACATCTGCTGACATGGCCACCACATGAACGCGCTGCTGTTGTTGCCAATCTCCCTGTCCCACTTGCAACCCCGCTTGGGCGGTGTGGGCTTTGGCCTCAAAGGCGCGCAGGCGGGCGGTGGTCTGGAAGCCATCGAGGCCGGGCATGAGGAGGTCCATGAGCACGAGGCGGAAGGAGTGGGTTGCCTGCAGCAGGCGCAGCGCCGCCTCGCCCGACTCTGCCAGCGCCACCTCCGCCCCGTACCGCGCCAGCGTGCTCGCTGCCACCCGCCGGTTCACCAGGTTGTCGTCCACCACCTGGTGGAGAGAGGGGGTACAGGGAGGGGTGCAGAGGGGCTGAGAACGGTTGATCACGTTGTCGTCCACCACCTGGGTGAGGGAGGGGCATGCAGAGGGGGTGCAGCGAGATGAGAATGGAGGGACAATTGATAGCGAGTTGTTGTTGTCCACCACCTGGCCAGCACAGCGGGTACATCCGATAGAGGACGATTGAGAGCGAGTTTGAAAGAGAAGAAGATATGACGTTGTCATGTGGACTGCCCTTGCTCGCATCTCACCAGCACAGCCATTGCTCGCATCTTACCAGGATGGCCATGCCCTGAAGCAGCTCCTTGAGGGCCTCCTTGGCGCTCACCACCTTCTCACCCGCCCTCTCCACCACGCTTGTGCCCTCCGCCTCTCCCCAGCCCTGCTCTCTCTCGCTCGCACTCAAGCTTCTGTTGCCCACTCTGGTAATGGGGCTGGGAATGGGAACGGCATTCCAGCCAGCACCATAACCCACGCTGGGAGCAGAACTGGCAGCCGGGGAATGAGCAGCAGCAGCAGCAGGAGGAGCGGGAACATAAAAGGGCAGAGCGATGTGCAGAGTGGTGCCAAGGCCCTCTGAGCTGATCAGACCCATGCTGCCGCCTAAGAGGGACACCTGCGACAAGTTGGCACGTGGAAGTGGTTGAAAGAAAGAAGCAGACAGTGAGTGTCGTGCAGCGCAGTAACAAACCATAATATACAGAGGAAGGGAGTAAGAAAGTGCTGAGCTGAAGACGCACAAGCTTTGAAACAGACTCACCAGCTTCGAAACAGACTCACCACCTTCAAAACAGACTCACCAGCTTTGAAACAGACTCACCAGCTTCGAAACAGACTCATCAGACTCCACTTACCAGCTGGCGTGACAAGTGAAGGCTCATGCCGCTGCCGCCATGCGCGTGTCTTTTCTGGTGTGCCTGTTGACGCGACGCGAGGTGGTGCGACAAAACAAGAGAATATGACGGATCGGTGAAGGTGCAACTGTGGTGCATTCATGCAGGCAAAACCTTCATATTCCTGATCCAGAACTTCCTTCCCACACTTCAGTGTAAAGTGTACATTCAATTGATACCTGAGTAAAATAGCTTGATTAAAATGTATCATAGAATGATGGTTTTAGATGATGAGCTGCATCCAGCCACACATCAACTTGCCATCACCTGCTTGAATGATCAATCACACAACACCAGGTGCAGGGCATGAAGGGCGGGGCTCACTCACCTGCATGAACGCCTGAAACACGTCGCGCTGCTCCTCCTCTGCGATGCCACACCCCGTGTCCTCACATGTCAGCAGCGCCACACACCGCCTGCCACCCCCCCCCCTCCTCCTCTGTGCACTCCTCTCTGCCCCGCCCGCGCCACCACCTCCCCACTGGTTCGCTCCACCAGCCCACACCACCACCCGCTCCTAATGCTGCTGCTCTTGCCACCCTGCCTACCTCAAATGTGCCAGCGCCACCCCCCTCACGCACAGCAGCACCTCGCCCGGCTCTAAGACCACCAAGACCACCCCCGTCCTCCTCTTCGCCATGTCTCAGCGAAGCCCCCTCTCCTCTTCTCCAAGAAACGCCACTTTTTCCTGCATTCCCCCTCTCGCCACCCTCCTCCCGCCCTTGCTGCACACATGCACCTGCTGCCGCACCACGCACTGTCTGCACTGCTGCACCCCCCCATTCACCTCTCCGCCATTCCTCATCCCCCACACCTTCCCTGCGCCCATTCTCTGCATTACTCCACCCTTCCTTCCTTTGCCCCTCCCTTTCCCACCCCCCCTCCGGCTCCTCCTCGCACCTCTCGTGGCCCTCGCCCTGCCCCATGGCCCCCACTGGCGGGTGTGAGGGGCGCGGGAGGAAGCGTGTGCAGAGCGACGCCAGCTGTAGGGCCCAGTCGCCCACCACGCCCCCCACCACCCCCTGCTGCTCCGCTCCCTGCTGCACCAACCCATGCTGCACCACCTGCTCTCTCCACGCCCTCTCTGCTCGCTCCTGCTCACCGCCAGGCGCAGCAGCAGCAGCAGCTGCGGGGACAGCAGTGGCAACAGCAGCAGTGGTGGCAGCAGTAGAAGTGGCTTCACCATTATTGGCAGCAGCAGCCGAAAGCGAGGAGCAGGCGGGGGTGGGTTGAGCGAGGAGGCAGCCGAGGGAGAGCAGGTGGGTGGGGATGTGGGTGTCGGGGGGAAGGCACTGCAGCCGCACACACACGCTTCCGCTGGTCGTGAACTTGATGGCATTGTCTGCAGCAGGTAGCAGTTGAGGGAGGGGGGAAAAAAAACAAAAAAACACGCGCGCAACAAAGGGACCAAAGTTGAGTGATGGAAAGGGAACAAGAGAAGTGTAACACGTAATGTAGGTTCATCTAGCGGCGATGCACATGACATCCCGTTCAGCCCTGGTGACTCACCCACAATGCTGTCCACCACTTGCTGCAGGCGCATGTAGTCCCCCTCCAGCACCTCGGGCACACTCGTATCCACACGGCACGCAACTGGGCACGGGCACACACACAAACAATTAATACAGAGGTTACAAAAAGAAACACTCAACACTTGCTTGTGAGATGTGTGATGGATTGCTTTCTAGCACCAGAGTTAGGGGCATTGCTGGAAGGGACCGAAAACAGATGAGAGGAAGATGATTACAGTTGAGGTTGCGAGCGTGGGCGGCGCAGGCGTGGGAGTGCAGCGCGTCCCTGAGCCAGGAGCGCACATCGAAGGGCAGGGTCTCCATGGTGAGGCGGCCGGCCTCGGCTTTGGAGACGTCGAGCACGACGTTGATGAGCGCCACGATGCGTTCCACCTCGCCCACCGCCGTCCCCACGTCCTCCCTCTGCCCTAAGTCCACCTCCCCCTCCGCCAGCTCCTCCAACATGCCTGTGGGGTCAGCGCGGGGGGGGGGGGAGGGAGAGGGCACAACAATGCGTCATCCATCGCTTTGCGTGTACCGCGTGTGCAGTGCCGTGCCGGCAATTCAGAGGGGGGGGTGCCGGAAATCCAGTGAGAGGGGTGCCGACATAACAGAGCGTTATTGCGCCCACTTTGAGCCCATAGCCTTGCATGAGCGACCATAACGACCCACTTTGAGCCCTCTCAGAAACCAATCGATCCACTCAACCCACCCATCCCATTCCCATCCACACACCCTTCTCGCCCCATTCCTGACCAGTGCTGACATCCGCAACACATACATCGCCCTGTGCCCTCTTAGAAACCACTCGCACCACTCGGCTCATTCCCCTGCCCACGCACCCTTGAGGCCGATGATGGGGGTGCGCAGCTCATGCGCCGTGTTGGCGATGAAGGCACTCTTGTTGCGCTCCGCCGCCTGCGTTCTCTCCTTGAGCATCGCCAGCGCCGCCACCTTCTCCCGCACACCACGCGTGTTGCACGCCACGCTCACCCCGATAGCCGCCAGCAGCGCCGCCACCACCACGATCAGCACCGCCAGCAGCACGGCCGTCCAGCTGTGGACCGTGTCAGCATCGCCAAAGCTGCAAGCAGATGAGTGCAGTATGAGGAATGGGGGATCAAAGTGTAGAACTTCATTTTAGCTGTAAAAATGGGGCCTTGAATAACGGCCGTCCAGCTGTGGACCGTGTCGGCTTCGCCAAAGCTGCAGGCAGAGGAGACGTGAGGCGTGGAGGGAAGCGTGAGGCGTGGAGGGAAGCGTGAGGCGTGGAGGGAAGTATGAGGCGTAGCATGAGGCGTGGCCGGCAGCATGAGGCGTGGAGGGAAGCATAAGGCGTGGACTCAGCTTTATTTTAGCTACAGAAGTGGAGGGTGGTGAGTTGGGAGAGAAGCACTTCTTGTGAAAGGATGAAAGGAACACACATCTGGACCAACGCATGCCTTGGAAGCAACTCACCGGCACCAGAGCTGGTAGGTGTGTGATGAGTCGGTGAGGTTGATTTGCTGCACGGCCTTGTAGCGGTGTGGCTGCAGCATCGTTTCGTTGCACGGTGGAATGAGCTTGGCTACTTGCAAGGGGTCGCCTTGAGGCAAGTCGCCCACCCCGTACAGCAGGCGCGGGGTGTAGGAAGAGAGGAGGAGGAGGAGGAGGAGGAGGAGGAGGAGGAGGAGGAGGAGGAGGAGGAGGAGGAGGAGGAGGAGGAGGAGGAGGAGGAGGAGGAGGAGGAGGGTGAGGAAAAAGCGAGGCGGTCACTGGAGGTGACATCATAGACCTCGAGGGAGTACTGAACATCTGGAAAAGGAGGAGAGTGAGGGAAAAAAAAAAAAAAAACACACACACACACACACACACACACACACACACACACACACACACACACACACACACACACACACTAAATGTTTGTTAATTTGAACAATCTCCTTGGAGTAATTGTGTGCAGCAAAGGGAGCAACAGCACATTCAAGTAGCAGCACTGCACCTTGGCGAAGCACTTCGTTAATGATGAAGGCGGCGAGGCTCTTGAAATCGATGGACGCCGCAATGAGGCCGATCAACGCCGCCCGCCTCTCCTCCAGCGGCGACGACGTTGTCACGCCATCCCTGAAGATTGGGAATCCCATGCCTGGCCGCACAATGGGGCGGAGGGGACGGGGGAGGGGACGGGGGAGGGGACGGAGGAGGGGACTGGGGAGGGGACGGAGGAGGGGACGGGGGAGGGGACGGGGGAGGGGACGGGGGAGGGGACGGGGGAGGGGACGGGGGAGGGGTACGGTACAGATGTAGAGGATGAGTGAGTGAGAGATGAAGAGGGTGGCTATGGAAGAATGGGGAATGACAGGGAGAGAAGGTAGCGACTGGGGGAGGAAGAAGGAGCAACAGCACTTCGACTCACCCATACCACTCACACACGCCCCTCCCACCCATTGACGCAACGCCCCTCACACTCACCCACGCCCCTCACACTCACCCACGCCCCTCACACTCAACCATGGCCCTCCTACTCACCACACCACTCGCACTCACCCATGCCAGCCTCCCCATTGTCAAGCACGTAGGGCATGCTGAGCAGGTTCACTGCCAGGTCGTGCATGCGCGCGAGCTGCGGGCCGTACGAGGGGTGTGTGCGCACGTTGATGCACACAGAGCCCACCTCCAGCAGCGGCAGCAAGGGGTTCTCCTGGAACCACACGCGCGAGTTCATGTACCAATCCGCCTCCAGGGCCGGCTTGCCGAGAATGTCCAACAGCTTGCACTGCGCCGCCCGCTCAAACAACGCCCTGCAGCGAGTGAGAGGGGAGAGAGGGGAGGGGTGGGGTGATGGGGGAGGTGGAGGAAGGGGAAGGATGGAAACGAGGAGGACGAGGAGATGAGGCGAAGGAGGGAGATGAGCGGCTTCTGCTGATGGAAGAAAATGTGAGATGAGATGTGAGCGAGAGAATCTCAGAATGCATGCAAACTCAAGAAAGCGCCACGAGGTGAAAGCTACAAGTCAAGAAGTTTGCAAAACGTGCAGGGAAGGGAAAACACAGCACCCCCCTGGAAGTCCGTCTGCCAGCCATGCATGTGAGAGCCGTGGAGAGGCGGTCGGAGGGAGTAGGGGTGAAGGGATAAGACAGCAAGGGGGGGGGGGGGGGAGGGGGGGGGGGGTGGCGGGGCTGGGCACCTGTGTGAGCCGTTGATGAGCGTCATGTAAGCCACGGCGTGCACCCAGGGCTGCGCCGCCACCATGCGCTCCACAAAGCGCACGAAGCGGCGCTGCGTGAGACAGCTGCCCACCGCCCAGGGGTTCTGCCGCACGCCGCCAAACACTGTCGCCAGCCCCGCCAGCACCTGATGGGCGCATCGGGGTTCGCATGGGGGAGTGCATGGGGACGCATGGGGGGTGCATGGGGAGTGCATGGGGAGTGCATGGGGAGTGCATGGGGAGTGCATGGGGAGTGCATGGGGAGTGCATGGGGGGTGCATGGGGGGTGCATGGGGGTGCATGGGGGGTGCATGGGAGGTGCATGGGGGGCGCATGGGGGACGCATGGGGGACGCATGGGGGACGCATGGGGGGCGCATGGGGGACGCATGGGGGGCGCATGGGGGACGCATGGGGGGCGCATGGGGGACGCATGGGGGGCGCATGGGGGGCGCTTGGGGGCCGCTTGGATGGGGCGCATGTGGCTCACACAGCGCGTGGCTCACACAGCGCATGGCTCACACAGCACGTGGCTCACACAGCACGTGGCTCACACAGCGCGTGGCTCACACAGCACGTGGCTCACACAGCACGTGGCTCACACAGCACGTGGCTCACACAGCACGTGGCTCACACAGCACGTGGCTCACACAGCACGTGGCTCACACAGCACGTGGCTCAAACAGCACACGGTTGGCGATTGAGTGCTCCAGTGGCCTACATGGGCTTCTCACACAGTAACGCCCTTACTCCCTCACCCACCCATCTGACCTTTGCCGAACGGTCGTGCGTGATGGTCTCAACACCAGCCCGTGCGACGACCCCTAGAGTCTGCGGACTCTTCTTCGCATGCAATCACGCTCAACGTCATGTGTCGGCTCGGATCAGCTTATCCAACCCGCATTCCCGGCGTGCACCCATCGCCACGTACTGGGCTTGTCGCATTCAAGCCTAGCCATCTGTACAGCCCGGCTTGATTCGTAGCTTCTATCGACCTGGACGGCCGCAGCGACGCCACACCTAAACTATAACCGAGACAATTTAGGGACTGTGTTGAATGCTGCTGCACGCAGATGACTGATATTGTATTGATAACCGGATCTTGCTTGACGCGGGCTAGATCGGCGTGTACGAGTGGAGGTTGGAGGATCTTAGCGAGCTCCCTGCCGACGCATTCTTGTTTCGCAAGAATCCGCGCTAAGAATTTCGCACATTGGCGAAGCATCGCGGCATTCGCGCACTGGCACGTGGTCGGCGTGTACCTGCACGTGGTGGGGCGTCTACCTGCACGTGGTGGGGCGTGTACCTGCACGTGGTCGGCGGTGAGCATGAACTGCTGCTGCAGCGAGCGCGCGCGACCGGCGCACCAGGTGTCGAGCTCCGCCTTGCGATTGTCGTCGAAGCCCTTCTGCACCCTCCACGCCACCAGCCCCGCCAGCACGCCCGCAAGCCCCATCCACACCGCCACCGCCGCCGCCATTCGCGACAGGGCCAACCCCCGACTCGACATCGCCGCGGAAGAATGATCTTGACGTTCCAGGTCCCAACTCTACCTCGTCCGGTCTTCCCGCACGTTCTCGAGCACACCGGTTGAGGAGTGGAGGAATAGGTCACTGGGTACTCTCGCAGAGGCCAATGTGGTTGCGTGTGACAAGAGTCCAATTTTTTAAAACCGAAACCCTACTCCGCCGTCTCGATTTGCGATCAAATTGCTCTAGATCTCAAACTTTTCAATACCGACACGCAGAGTTTCGAACAGGAGTCACAAGCAGGGTTCGTAGTGACTAATGCTACCTTTCCCAACGAAATAGAAGTTACTGCATTACTCTACCAACAAACAGGAGTCTCCTAAATTAACCACTTCCTTCTACGTCATCCAGCCGCCAATCCATGCGCTATAAATTATTGGGTTAGTGAAACCCATACGCTGAAATTTTATGTGCTTGGTATCTCGTGCTGGAAATCGTGCGCAAAAGGCGGCACCCATGCATAGTTTCTAAGATCCACACCACAGTTGTTACAGGGTGTTGTGAGCGAGGGAATGGGCTGAGCAGGAGGACATGGATGGGAGTACGAATAGGAGCAAACCAGCGTCCATGTCATCTCTCCCCTCCCAACCGAGTGCCTCTCTGGATGAGGACGCGGTAAAAATGCAAATATCACAGGATCGTCTGCACATATCCATCCCCACAATCGATTGGGCAGGTCGATTGGCGAAACGTGGCGATCGCGACGTTGTAACGATCGCCACTGAAATTTGATAGATCTCCCGCGATTTGTGATCAGTCGCATTCACGCACTGTCCTTAAAATTGGGCCAAAAGCGTACTGTAGCATGGTTACAGCGTAGTAAATGGAGTAACCGACCCGCACACTGATCGTGACTGACGATCGATCGTCTACTTTTATCGCGTCCTGAGGGATTTGAGGCATTTGCCCCTTCATGCCTGAAGCATGGTGGCATTGTGGGTTGGGTCTGGGCACATCCACTGTTTTCGTGACATTTCAGGGCTGCTGTGAACAGAATTCGGAATCAGTTCATGGCGAACCCGCCCTTTCCTTGGTTATCAATGAAGGCCTCGCTTAAGCCCTTTTCTCCACCCACTCCCTTCATTCCCACTCCCCTTCCCCCTGCCACCCCCACAGCCTCCTCTCACTCCCTTCCTCTAGGCCCACTTCTACCCGGCGGTGAACGTTCTGGACAAAACAGGCCCAGCACACCCGCGACTGTTACATGTTACACCTACTGGTCCACGTGAGACTTCAAGCCAAAAGCAAAATCAATACAAGCCCCTAGAAACTGGATGGCTTACTAATTATTCCAAAATTGACGAGGGGTGTCCCTGAAACACGTTCAACGACCTGACTAGGTGTATGAGTGTGATGGGAAGATTCTCATTCCCTCTATCGGCAGAGGTAATGATGAGTAGGTTGGACACAAATCTTTCTGTGCTTTGGCCAGGCTGGCCAATCAATCCCCCAACCCCAAGCAACATGTGACTTCAGCAAAACGACGGGGCCACGCAACAAACAGTGGGATTGAGCGGCCACAGCCACAAATACGAGAGCACACGCAGGTAGGTGGGGACCACGGACGAGGGCTCAGAGTTTGAAGGCGGTTTACCCTGTTTGGCCCGCTTTTCCAACCTTCCCCATTAAACTCTTCCTCGTCTCCCCCTCCATGTCTTGTTGCACTGACGGTAATTTTTAAACGGAAAACTCCCGTAATAGAACACCTAACACCCTGCAAACTCCTGGCCCTGCTGCGCCTGGCATACTGTAGTAACAGAAACTCCTTCACAACTCTGGAGAGGGTGTCCAAAAAAACTATCGAGACCCCTGGAATGAATACACATCTGATCGACGGTCAGTTTTGGGACAGGCTGATGTGCACTCGCCCAGTTACCCGGTGCTGCAGCGAGTGAGTCTCAACTCACTGTTCCCCTTGCTTACGTTTTTGCACTTTTCGTTAACCAACGTCACCGAGCCTTCACGAGAAAGTGCTGGCAAATTCGCGTTACACTAATTACGCATGATACACCTAGTCGCGGTATTTTAACCGCCGCTATCTTAACCGTGCGAGGGTACTTCTCCTTGGTCAAACTTTTTTATACGAGTAGTTTAGAAATTTATTGAGGGTATAATCTAGCATACCCTTTGTGAGACGTCGGCAGACAAAACCTGGTCAATGCCGCTCCGCCCTCTATTCCGGAGCACAAAGTGTGAGTTTCTTTGTAAGGAAATGCTTCTGGCTGCAAAGCAATAGCCTTGAAGTCTCTGGGTGCCCATCTCATTACCCGAAAACGAACAAAGGGTGTTTGAAGCGAAATAGTTCACGTGGTTAAAATACCGCGGACTAGGTGTATCGATTCACCCCCTGCCAGTGGTCGCGTTACGAAAATGCAACAAATTAACCATCTCCCTTATGTGTAAGGAAAAATCCTTTTCCTTCGCGTCCCTGCTCAGCGCGTACTCCCCTGTTCCTGCCAACAGCACCCAACAGTAAAACCGTTACCACTCGCGACATTCGCCTCGACACTGTTCCCTCCACTGTTCACGACGCAACCCAATCTCACGGTTCGGTTGGTAACCCGCGCTCCGGACCTACCGCCTCGACATTTCCCAATCTCGGCGCTAGGCCCGTCGCGCACCCCAATTTCCACACATTACCGTTACCACTATAGTTTCGCTATATATTCTTCGCTCATGCCTTCGCTCATTGTACTTTTGCTTCGATAGTGCAATTCTCGCTCGCTCACTCAATTGCACTCGTAACACTTGGTACTTAGAGCCTACGATCTCTTCTCGGACCGCACCCACACCTTCGCTTCCCCACTATCTCAAATTTGGGGGGGGGGGGGGGGGGGGGGTAGACGTTTCTCAGAGAAACAGCACCACCACTCATAGTGCTCTCTCGTAAGCACGCACGGCCACGACAGAGGCTCTCGCTGAGGTTGCCCGACACCCCTGCCATGGACGAATTCACTCTCGCGACACTGACGCAGGAGCAACTCGACCTTCTCGTGCGCCAGGTCGAAGAATCGGCGCTCGAAATTGCAACACTCATGGCGGAACGTGACTCCGCGCGTCAGCAATCCACGTTGAATACTCCAGTGCCACCACACGCACCTGCAAATGCACCTGCACAATCGGAGGAGCCGATCGTCATCTCATCAGGCACACCGACACAAAATGACAGCGTGGGACACCACTCAGGCGCAGCCAGTGATGGCGCCGCCCACTCGATGCCTTGCATGGAGAGGAACATGGTCGCTCCAAGCCCGCGCGAGCCTCGTGAAGCCTGTCGACACGTGGAATTCGCGGCGACAAGTGGCGACCACGCCATCATGGCACCAATGCCACTCAAGCCGCAGCGCCCGCCCTGCTTCGACCCAAGCCAGCGTGGAGGTGCGACGGTTCAATCTTCACAATGAACGTCTTCTTGGACAGGAGTTACGTAGAGTCGGACGCAGCGAAGATCCGATACGCCATCTCGCTGCTAAGGGGCCCCGCTATGGACTGGTGGCGAGTCATCGTGGCGTCGCCACGCGCCTATGATGTCAAACATTATATATGTTCTGCTTGTGTAGGCTACAGTGGGTTAGCCTATAGGGGGTACACAATTCTAGGGTTTCCTACTTGTACTCATTTTCACTGCTAGTTCATTCATTCCTGTTCGCTTATTCTCACATGGTATCGAGCAGGTTCCCCTGTGGGAACTGTTCGTAGGGCCCACCACCGCTACCTCTTAACCTTTTTTTTTCCTGCCCGGAGCGCGCTCCGGGCCCTAGTACCTCTTTTTTTTCGATCTGCCCTAGTGCTCTGAAGGCCGCCCGCCCTAGCGCCCGAGCGCCGCCGCCCTTGCGCCCTGACGGCCGCCCGCCCTAGTGCCCTGACGGCCGCCCGCTCTAGCGCCCGAACGCCGCCCGCCCTAGCGCCCTGACGGCCGCCCGCCCTAGCGCCCTGACGGCCGCCCGCCCTAGCGCCCGAGCGCCGCCCGCCCTAGCGCCCGAGCGCCGCCCGCCCTAGCGCCCTGACGGCCGCCCGCCCTAGCGCCCGAGCGCCGCCCGCCCTAGCGCCCGAGCGCCGCCCGCCCTAGCGCCCTGACGGCCGCCCGCCCTAGCGCCCGTGCGCTGCTCGCCCTAGCGCCCTGACGGCCGCCCTCCCTAGCGCCCTGTCGGCCGCCCGCCCTAGCACCCGAGCGCCGCCCGCCCTAGCGCCCGAGCGCAGCCCGCCCTAGCGCACTGACGGCCGCCCGCCCTAACGCCCGTGCGCCGCTCGCCCTAGCGCCCGAGCGCCGCCCGCCCTTGCGCCCTGACGGCCGCCCGCCCTGACGCCTGAGCGCCGCCCGCCCTAGCGCCCTGACGGCCGCCCGCTCTGACGCCTGAGCGCCGCCCGTCGTCGCCCCAGCGCCCTAGCGCCCGACGCCCGCGAGCCGCCCGTCGCAGCCGCCCGTGAGCTGCCTGTACGCCGCCCGCCGAGCCGCCCGTGCACCCGCCCAGCGTGAGCCGCCCACGACCGCCCAGGCTGCCGTCCCCTTCTACCGGCCCCGCAACTGCACCTGCTGGCCCCGCCGCTGCACCTACCGGCCCCCACCACCCACCCCCCCAAGCGGCCCCCTCAGGTCGCCTCGACAGGCGACGGGAGAGGCCAGCAGAGGGGTGGCAGGTGTGTGGCCTCCTCTGCTTCTCCTCCTCCTTCATCGCTCACCTGCAGCAGCCGAGCCGCCCCACCGCCGAGCCGCCCTGCCGCCGAGCCACCGGGTCGCTGAGCTGCTGAGCTGCAGTTGCTGCCGAGCCGCCCTGCCGCCGAGTCACCGAGCTGCTGAGCTGCAGTTGCTGCCGAGCCGCCTTGCCGCCGAGCCGCCCGAGTCGCCCGAGCCGCCGAGCCGCCGAGCTGCCGAGCCGCTGAGTCGCCGAGCCTACTCTTCCCACCACTGGTGAGCTCTTGCCCTGCTAGCACGCTGCGCGTCGCCTGCTTGCCTGCCTGCTTGCCTTTTGGCTTGCCTGGC